AAGCACACATCGTCGCCACTGATGATCAAAATACCATTCGAACTAGCACAAAAAAATATCACAAAAATAACCTGAAGAGACCACTTGCTAACCAACGAACTGTGCAATTGCAGGATACTAGTCGCCCTGATAACGAACCTTACTGCTCAAGAAATTAGGCTGACAAATTTAGCCGCCAACCCCGGTATCCTACCCTATCGACTAGGAGACGCGAAATCAAAGACAACACATCACACATTCATACACTATTTTGACTTATATCTCATTGAATTACTTGCAATAACTGGACAATACGAGCAAATATAAGAAACATTTTCCAAAACAGACAATCAGTACGCCCATGCACTAATAAATATTCAAAATTCAATTGCATTTCAGCTCAATGCCGTAGAAGATGAATTCAATCCACTTCACCCCAACAGACGAATCAGAAGAGGACTAATTGACGGATTAGGCACATTATTCAAAAGTATTTCTGGCAACTTAGAGGCAGAAGATGGCAAGAGATACGACGAAGCCATTTCAATCCTCGAAACAAATCAAAAAAATGTTTAAAGACTCTGAATAAACAGATTCCATCAACAACCGGAATAATTGATGATTATAACGAAACTCTAGTTCTCATAAAACAAAATGAAATTCATATCACGGATAAAATTAACGAACTCAACAAAGAATTCCGGGACTTCCTATTCAATTTCAACTGTTATACGATAGAAAAGACTGGCTTCGATGATCAAATAAACGCTTTTCTCAGTATCGTAACTCAACTTCTGAATAACTTAGAGGATGCTGTTACATTTGCTAGATTAAAAACTATGCATAATAATATATTAAAGATCGAAGATTTGGTATCAATTGTAAAGAGACTTCTAGATCACCACCAGCCTAATGAATAATTTTCTAGGGACGACATTTCCAGCTCATACAAATACTATAAAATACTTGATGTCAAATGTTAACATTCTTATAATAAAATAGTTTTCATGATTCACTCTCCGATTGTCTATCCTGAAGTATTCTTTTATTACCACCTATATTCAATTCCTTCAAGAAACAATTCGATTATCATTTCTTCCAAACCTTTTCGGGCTATGGAAGAAACTTTCTATCAGTACGAAGTCAGTGAGTGTAGAAACACCAACCCTTTGTATTTCTGCACCAAACGAGAACTCGATCTTGCAATCTCGAGAAGAAGACTGCACACACCAGATACTGCAGTTGAAAAGCAAATATCCGTCAAGCTGCGAAGCCATACCAGTGGTAATTCAACACGAAATCATCGAAGAAACAAACCCTGCCCACTACATCGTGATCTTCCCAGATGAAACCAAAGTTAACAATGATTGTCATAAAACCGATTTTGCAGTCCTCAAGGGTACCTTCCTTTTGGAAATACCAACTCCATGTAGTTTTTGAACATCACACAATGTCTTCACAAACGAAGAAACCATCATCACCGGCCAACCCTTGCTACTACCCGGAGTCAAGATACCGACTATCACAGGTGACCACGTACATGATCTTGTAATAAACGACATACCCCTGGACCAAGTACAAAGACTGCAACAGGATCAGCACAGGATCAATTATGTCTCGCTGAAAACAATGCCAAGTAACACAGCTCATTATTGGTCAATACCAATATACCGGGTGGCTACGGAAGTATTGCCTACGGAATATCTCAGTTATTGTATAAAGTAGATATGTGGAATTTGAAGCGTCGATATAATGACATAAGAGCTAGAATTTGAGCATATTGACATGTCAAAGTTAACTTCCGGTCTGACCGGAAGTAACATCAACTTTCTTATTTTAAATTGAAACCCTATTTTTTTTCTTTTCGCTTCATTCAGCATTCAATTTCCTTTCTAATGACATACCACAAGTGGGTATCTAACCAGAAACTATATCAAAAAAAAATTATTATTGAAATTCACCGAGTGGAAGCAAATGAAAGCCAAAAATTGAAAAGTTGGCTATGGAAACCATACGTCACTTGATAACAGTTGCTACTACTGTGATATTTTATCTCCATTCGTCGGCGTTATAGAAAGCCGCCAAAAAAAATATTGGAAAAATTTGTAAAAAAACAATACTCTGTAGGTCCATAACTTAAATAGGAACATACAACTTTTCCTTGCCTGTACTATTCAGCATAACCATTTCTCTCGAATGATATAATAGAAAATACCAAAAAATCCAATTATTATTCTTCAAATAACAAGAAAACAGATTTATCAAAAAAAAAATTGGATTTTTTGGTATTTCATTTCAAAAAATGACTTTCTATTATATCATTAGAAAGGAATGGTTATGCTGAATAGTACAGGCAAGAAAAAGTTGTATGTTCCTATTTAAGTTATGGACCTACAGAGTATTGTTTTTTTCCCAATTTTTCCAATATTTTTTTGGCGGCTTTCCATAACGCCGACGAATGAAAATGGAATAATACAGTAGTAACAACTGTTATCGAGTGACGTATGGTTTCCATAGCAAACTTTTCGATTTTTTGCCTTTCATTTTGCTCCTACGGCCTACTCGGTGAATTTTTATAATTTTTTTTTCTGATTTAGTTTCTGGTTAGATACCAACTTGTGATATGTCATCAGAAAGGGAATTGAATGCTGAATGAAGCGGAAAGAATAAAAAAAAGGGTTTCTATTTAAAATAAGAAAGTTTATGTTACTTCCGGTCAGGCCGGAAGCTAACTTCGACATGTCAATATGCTCAAATTCTAGCTCTTATGTCATTATATCGACGCTCCAAATTTCACAAATCTACTTCATACAATAACTGAGATATTCCGTAGGCAATACTTCCGTAGCCACCCGGTATATTGTATTGATCGTATTTTTCGCTATTGGATTGGTTAATCTATACAAGAAGTTCATACGTTCCAATCCAGATGAATCCCTAGCACCTGAGGCAGCACCTAGATCTCATCCAACCCTATTCCTGAGGGCTGAAGACGACGGGTTACCAGATCCACCCCCTGTATGGATCTTTCTGAGGGAGGTGTCAACAATTCCACGGTATTCCTTAAGAAATAGGAATCTCGACAAAAGACCAGAAGAAGCCGAGTCAGCGTTCTCATGATTTCTATGCTTTCTTGCAATTTTGCATTTTCACATGTTGAATAGAATTAGTTTTATATTTAGTGTTGACTTGGAATCCATGCTGTAAACATATCTCTGCTTTGTGACAAATAGTTGAATAAAAAATATTTTTTTATCCGAAATCCTGAACGAACTTATGAAATTAGAGCACAGAAGAGAATCCCTATAATGTCACGAATGAAAATATCTATCTTGTATTTCGAGCAGAAACTAATATTACGAATTATCAAAAAAAAAAAACTCTTTTTTGACAATTTCTATCTGACAAAAATAATGAAAGGATCAATTCACGTGAATCCCGTTGAGAGTAAAGACTTATCAGCTAGGACAAAATTGCAAATTTGTTCGAACGTTCTTGATTCTTTCATTGAACCGGTCGATGTAAGCCTTGGTTGTAGAGCTGTTCTCATGGTATTTCCTCTGATCTGTCTGGATCTAATGAAATTTCCTGAGAAGAGTTATCAGGAACTGATATGGTTCGATATAACAAGAAGACAAAAATTGCTTCAATGTCCGAATCTGGAATATTCATTTCATAATATGCCAACTTGAATTTTTCCAATAGATAAATGTCGCTGCCCAAGAATCAGCAGAAATATTGGCTATAAGAGTTGAATGGCAATTCCACATAATACATTATGGAGGGTCAATGAAATCAGCCTGCCAATCTCCACCAGCGACTCCTTCGATCAAAAATAGGGAGACAAGTTTCATTGAACATGACTCGAGCTCTCAAGAGAGCTACGGCTCCCTGAAACGTGATTCCCGAAAATGATGTTTCTTAAATACTTTCGAAACGCCACTTGATAAAATGATGCAATTTTGTACAAGAACTAGACTTACCATGCCCAATGCGATGGACATCGAATCATCCCGGATTTTCATCAAGAAGTTTATAATACAGGAAGGAACTACATTGAATATTGCTCAAACTCTTTCTTATGCATATTATTTGTCAATCCAATTTCGGATTATGTAGAACGACACCATCCCACGAAAAAAAATTGCTTCTGTTCCTTATCGATCGAATGTATCATTCTCGAGAGGAATCGAATTGAAAATATTGATACACTCACATCTTATGCAGAACATCGCCAATCTTCAGATCATAGTGACTATGAAAAAACTACATTCTGTTCACTGAAAAATTTCATGAAAGTGCGAGAAGTAGGTGAACGATGATGAAAAGACTACCTCAATTTTTGTGCATTATTTTCCATTCCTTTCACGACTAACTGCGATTTTATGCATAATATCTGAGATGTAACAATATTTTGAAATTGCTGCTACTCGACAATGATACATCTGATCGTCATGGAACAAGTCGAAGTTTTATTCTGTGAAGAGGTCTGAATTTCCATAATCCGAGATTATATTGTCGAAAAATATGCATACAAAAATTCTGAGCAAAATTCACTGTAGTCCCACTCTGTGTTATACACTCCTGAAAAAAACTCTGAAATGATTCTATTTTCACTGCATTGGGCATGGAGAGTTTAATTCCTGTACCGAATTGCATCTTTCCATCAGTTTTGAAAATACTCAATAAATATCATCTCCAAGAGCCCCCTCTTAGGGGGCCGTAGCTCCCTCAGGCGACATGTCTCGTCTCGTGCTCATCAAAACTTTCTTTCTTATTTTTGATCGTAGAACCCGCTGGTGGAGTTCGGCAGGCTCATTTCGGGACACCTTGTATATCAACTCATCTTGATTTTCACTATTCACCATTTCGCTATGTGAGACTTCTCATGAATCACCTCATATATTATGTTACATCATTACAATCCATCTATTGATTATTAATCAAATCATCAACTCCAATTCTCACACTCAGATCAGATACATTATTATCTATAGAATAATTATAGTTGTGATATTTACCTCGAATTTCGGCAGGTATCGTGGGGAACCTTTGACATGTTTCTTCCTTACGAAAAACAGCAGATCATCACAGTCCATAGTCGACTCATTCTGGAACAGGAAATGTCGCACAAATAAATCCGTCCAGTAAGTTGTGCCTTGTAACATCACGAACCCAGAATCTGGAAGTTTGCTATGAGAACATTCAATTCAAAAAATATTTCAGACGCCATCAACCTTCTTTCAGTAGTTGTCGCATTTCCTTTGCTCTTTGGAAGTTTATTTCCTCCAACAATTGTTCTAAGACTGTTGAAGATTTTGATACTGACAGATTAGAAAATGCCATTTCACTTCACAGTTATGGAACACAAATCATTCTTGGTAATGTATGTACTAGAAATCAATTAATATATTCATTCAACTTCATTTCCTCGATATCCACTCACTTCACACTTCACAGCAGACAAACAATGTATATAAACTGAAATCGATACTCGCCAAGGCATGCGCTAGGCATAGAAGGAAATAGAATAACCGTGTATAGTGGGGGTCCCTATACGTATTGAATTCAAATCTTGTGGACGGTTTGATGATTCAACCACAGTTCAAGGAATTTCCTAAACTATGATCTAGTGAAGCAACCATGTCGAAAAGTCCTGAAAAAGTTATTGAAAGATAACCCATCTGATGAATTCATTCAATAATTGTTTAGAGAAGTGGACCATATGACGCAGGTGGTGGCACAGTTACCCCATATTATAAGCTATTGAGATGAATGTTGATACGACCAAAATCGATGTCATTCCATCAGTAATTATTTTTTCTTATTTCAATCACAGTGGTGCAGGTTTGGGTCCCTTGATGCAAGTTGACGAATTTGTTAATGATCTAGTGACGTTAGTTTCGTAAAGTGACGCCCCTGATATCGATGTCGCGTTACCCATAGTCACCGAACATCAACTTAATAATTCATATTTATTTAAGATGAAGAATGCGAATTCATGACATATTCCTTGATATGTGAGAATATTCATTTTCAAAGCCCTCATACCCATTCAAGGGCTTCAAACTGGAACAATAGATATTTGTATGTTTTGGTACTTCATAACCCAGAGAATATAGGTCGTCAAAGAGGTAGGCCTTAACCTGGAATCTAACGCTCTAGGATTTGATGGAATTAATTTAAAAAAGTTCCCAATATCTCTACCTGTCATACTACCGTTCATTACTGGTTTGTCATCACGTGATAACTTTTTTTGTTTTATTTTGTCTGTATATTTTTTCATTTTTGATAATTATTAATTGGGTGCATGCAAAATTGATATATTCAATTCAGATTATTTTCTTTTCTAAAATAAGTATATTTATTACTTAATTTGTTCATTCACCGAAATCCAAATTTTCCTTTTCATTAATCCTGTATTTATTCCGATCCAATCCTGCATTTCACAAAAAACCTCGCAAGTAATCGGGTCCGAAGAATACCAGGCAGCAGAGATAAAGTGGATAAACAGGTGAAAACCAGTGTCGAATAGTTCACCGAATCATAGGTCGTGCTGACAAACTTTTCGTGAATTATACGATTACCACCACACTATAATCCATAATTACTACTTATTACTACTACTTCGACTATTACGTGTCGGTGAGTGGAACAATATAAGGGTGGCCTATTGGACTGCTGAAGCAAGAGGTTGGGTACATATTCCTATTGTCCCTTCGTCCCTTCTGAATTTGGTGAGTCTAAAGTCTCATTGTTCCTTCTCACAACATACTTTATTTTTACTACTTATCTTGCACTCACTATATTACATGAATCTTATGAAAACATATCGAAACCACTTCTAAGATCGGCGCTCCCTGAAATTTTATACAGTAGTTGATTGTAAATTATTACATAATTTCAGTCATTACATAACATGGTCCTTCGAGCCGGATGTGTTTGTGGATTTGAAGTTTTCAAATGGTTCAACATTTAGTTCGTTCAAGTTACTCAATTCGATTTTGGATGCAACCTTCAATTATTGAATTTCTATAAATAACCTTTTACTTCTTGCATACCCATACACATATGCGTTCGTGTATTTTCTACCTTTTTAAAATCTACTACAAGCGAAATTGCATCGAAGCGACTCCGAAGATATTTCGATATCATAGTTATTCAAACTTATTCATTTGCTTATTTACTTGCTCTTTCATTTCAACAGCTTTTTTCTGAAGTTCTACTTACCTTTCTGGGGATTTTGTCGTTTACAGCTTTTTGTGCGCCTGCTACCTGCGTTATCAGCTCGTAAATATTTTTTTCGTGAAGACTACGTGAAATACAAATTATTTACGTTTCCCAACTTTCTATACTCTCAACATTCGAGGTGTTTCAATTAAATATGGCAACAGTAGAGCAAAAAATTCTGAGGTCCAAGGTCTTGAGACAGACTACTATCAATCAATTAGATACATTAGTGGAGTGGGCATATAGAGCTAAAAATAACTTTAATGATCATAATGGATTCAAAGTTGAATATCGAAACATGAAAAAAATCGTCAAAGATTTTGAAAAGCACAAAAATGCTATTTTAGTTTTGATTGCGGATAATAATGAACTCTTAACTGTTGAGAACACCACTAGCGAAGAGTTCGACACTAAATGTCATGAAGTTGACACGATATATTATGATTTGTTCGAAGCTACTCTTGACGAATCAATGGAACGAACGCATGATCAACATAATAGTACCTTCGCGAATGATCATGTGTTTTTGCCAAAATTGAATTTACCCACCTTTACGGGTGACATTAAGTTATTTCAGACATTCAGTCAAACCTTCAAGGCTCTGATTCACTCTAATAAATCATTATCTAACATTGGAAAGTTCAATTATTTGATTTCTTGCCTGAGCGGTCCTCCACTAGATTTGATTTCCGATAAACCGGTGTTAGGAGAAAATCACATATCTGCCTTTGATACTTTATATCAGCGATACAATAACAGAAGACTTCGGGCTTTCACTCATTGAAAATGCATTGAAGATACACCCCATCTTTCCCATGAGAGTGGGCACTCCTTGCGTCATCTCATTGATACGTTTACAAAAAATATTTCTGCTTTGAAGGCTACTGGTTTCAAAACGGAAAATTGGGATTTCATTTTAACATACATGTTATTAGATCGTTTGGATCCGTCAACTCGAAAATCTTATGAACAAATCCATGCATCAAATGAAATTCCTACGTATAACAATCTCAAGGAATTTATAAATAAGCAATGTACTGCCTTGGAGTCTGTTCCCAAAAAGGGACGTCCCACAGAATTTTTGAAACATAACGTTTCAAATGCACCTCGTAATTCAAATAATAATCAAAACACCTCACGATATAAATCTACCCTTTTTACTGATACAAGGTCATCAAATACTTGTTTTTTATGTGAAGAAGCTCATATAATTCATAAATGCCCATTTTTTTTGTCTAAAACACCACAACAACGCTTTGAAATTGTAAAAAATCGAAGGGCATGCATTAACTGTTTGGCTACTGCTCACACGTTGAGGAGTCATTGTACTAGTCAAAAACGATGTATGTCTTGTAAAAGGGATCACCACAGCTTACTGCATTTTCAAAATGGGTCCATGAACTCTAATCATAGATATGATAACCCCCCAAGTCCGAATGTACAAATATCTGAGTTATCCTCCGAAACTTTAAATTTTACGATTCCGAATTCTGATACAATCACTGCATCAACAAGTAATACTATAACCTCTCATATCGGTATGTTGATTAATGATCATGAGGTTTTATTATCGACTGTCCTGATAAATATAAAGGATGTTCAAAATAACTGGCATCCTGTCCGTGCCATTTTAGATTGTGGGGCGCAATCGTCATTTATCACAAAAAAATGTGCAAATAGACTAGGGTTGAAAAAATACAATATATCCATGTCGTTACAGGGGTTGGGCGATATGTCTACCTCAGCCCATTGTGGAGTTTACCTTACAATAGCTGATAGAAAAGATAGTAAAATCTTTATAGATTTAGAAGCTATTTTAATAGAAAAGATTTGTGATGAAATGCCATCAAAATCTTTCTCACTTACGAAATTTCCCTTCACTACAGATTTGCAACTTGCCGATCCATACTTTAATAAGAGTGTGAAAATTGATTCACTTCTAGGTAACGATGTTTATCCATACATTTCGAAAGAAGGAATTATTGATAATGGGCCTAACCAGCCAGTATGCATAAATACTGTTTTTGGGTGGACTCTGATGGGCAAAATGCCTGTGTCTAACCCAGTTACTAAAAACATACAATCTTTTTTCATTACATCTATCGATAATAATTTGAATACCACTTTGCAAAACTTTTGGCGTCTTGAAGAAATTCCAGAAACTCAAAATTCATCCCCTGAAGATGAGTTTTGTGAAACACATTTTAAAAATACTATATCGACGAATGAAGAAGGAAGATATATTGTTTCCTTACCATTCAGAATTACTGCACCTGATTTTGGAAATACACGAGTTATTGCCCTACGACGATTTATTTTCCTCGAGAAAAAATTGTTACAGAATCCTACATTTTACTCAGCCTATTCTGACGTTTTGCGAGATTATTTAGAGAATAAGCACATGCAGCAGGTTTCTCAGCCTTCACAATCAGAAATGCACAATTATTTTTATATTGCTCATCATGCAGTTTTCAAGGAGTCCACTAGCACTCCCCTTAGGGTTGTTTTTGATGCATCAAGTCAAGCACCAGATAAGATATCATTAAATAATGCAGTATATGCAGGTCCAAAATTGCAACAGGACTTAGTTAAGTTATTGATCAATTTTCGACTTCATCAATTTGTTTTTACTTGTGACATTCGTCAAATGTATCGTATGATCTTGGTCACACCTGAAAATAGAAAATTTCAGCGAATTCTCTGGCGTTTTTCGCCCGAAACGCCAATAATGGATTTTCAGCTGAATATTTTAATTCTTGGTTTATCGTGCTCCCCTTATCTTGCCATAAGAACCTTAATCCAGCTCGCGGAAGATTATGATGATCTACCCTTAGCTTCTGAAAAATGATACATTCGTGGATGATATCGTTGTTAGTTGCCATTCTTTTGACGAAATTGAGTTGAAGAAAACTCAACTTATAGAGTTGCTTAAACGGGGTGGCTTTGAAGCAAGAAAATGGTCAAGTAATACTCCAAATTTACTATCTGATTTGCCTGTAACACATGTACAAAATGCATGTCTATCACTCAATCTGGAAGAAGATAATTCTTTGAAAATTTTGGGGTTAAAATGGAATCCTTCAAGTTATGTATTTCTTTACTCCTTTGATTGTTCAAATAAAAAATGTACTAAGAGGACAATATTGTCAGATTTATCCAAGATTTTTGACCCGCTTGGTTTTTTAACGCCACTTACTTTATTTGCTAAATTGTTGATACAG